CTTCAAATCCTGGGCTGGGATCAGCAGTGTGAAGATTTGGATTTAGATATTTTCAAGGGATTTGTGCAAAAGCGAGTGCAAAAGCCAATGCAAAAGTCTCGGCTGGAATTAAACCTAGACACGTCAAAACACTACGCCAACTTTCTACGCGTATACCCCCCACACACACGCCCGCACACACATACAAATACACACACACACACACACACACACATATATATATATATATATATATATATATATATCAATCATAATATCAAATGTGATTTAAATCAAATTTATATCATTATCATCGTCATCATCATCATCTAATCTAAAAAATTATCATCATCACCACATATATATATATATATATATATATATATATATATATATATATATTCACGCATGTATATGTATGTGTGTATGTGTCTAAAAAAATTATGTTGTACACACACATCTATGCATATATACGCATGTGCATAAACACATACATACACACAAACATAGAGATATACATATAAACACATTTACACACATAGTGGCTGTCAACTCACAAAGCGAGTATGACCATCACTGACATGTCCAGTCCACCAGTTAAGCTCCCCCACCCAACACTGCATTCATTGGTTGTGTGAATGAGAGTGGCTCATAAAGCCAGCCATCGATCTGCATTTCTTCTTACATATATGGCATATCAAATCATCTCCGGGTGGTGGAAGTTGATTTTGAACATCATCACTTCCAATGTGTCTTTTTCTATGCCTTGTTAGACCCGACTTGAACTTATAGTTTGGTCATTCAAAGCATGCCATTACGAAATTGATATGCAATAGACTGTTGGTGTTGGTGTGATTTCTGATGACTGAGCAGACACCCCCAACCTTGACAAGTATAAACGATCGCATTGGACACGTGGCCAAGTTGGCACTTCATGGCAATTCAGGAATCCCTTCCGAAGCCCTCTCTTTAGTTCTGCATGTTTTCGTGATGCCTCATGGAATATCTTGACACCATCAGCAATACCAGCTCTCCAAGAAACCCGATCTTCAGCTAGAGTCTCCCAGTTACCCAGATCAATATTGCACCGGATAAAACTAAAAAACTATAGTAATTAATTTCAAAGTAAATATATATACAGAATCACTATCACCCAAGTCAGCTTATTCTTTAAAAAAATATCATTGTATGATTTGTATTTACGAAGATATTTTAAAATTAAAATGTATAAAAATGCATTCGAAAGTCTCAGAATTAAAAAGTAAAAACGAACGGTAATAATTCTTATTCCCGATTAGGATTACCGTTTGTTTTTACTTTTTATTCTGCTGACACTTTCAAAAGTATATACATGTATGTATTTTCAAAATTTCTATTCTCTTGAATTTATTTTCACATCTATAGTAAATAAAAATGAATATTAAAACAATAAAGTAAATTTAAAAGGAGAAAATTAATTACAATTATTTGACAAAAAATTTAATATTTATTTATTTAAATATTCGAGTTTGTGCCCTTGTTTGTTTGTGTGTGTGTGTGTGTGCGCGCGCGCCCGCGTGTGTGTCCGGCTAAAACTAAAAACCTACAATAATTAACATGTATGTGTGTATATTATTGAATTATTAATATTTTTTTTATCCATCTTATGAAAAATAATTTTTTATTCAATCTGCAAAACATAAACTTCATTGTTTTTTTGTTTGCTACTAACATGAAAAAGTAAATAATTTTAAATTAAGTTTTATGAAAGTAAAGAACTATTGTGAGTCTTATTTTTTCAAAAATTAATTTAGATAAAATATAGTTAAATTCGTAAAAGAAATATTCAACACGACTAATGGTGGCCGTAAGTAATGTCTGTCACTGCTAATTTTTATTTGACGAAAGTTTCTTTTGCAAATACAAATATAACTTGAAATTTAAACATAAGCGCTTTTCAAAACTAAATTCTCAGTATATTTTGTTTGCTTCTACTCTCTTTAAAAATAGTAATTAAATTCATTTGCAGAGAAATGTTTGCTTCTTTAATGCAATGTTTAAAAGTAAAACTTTATTTGCTTAAAAAAAAACTAAATACCCCTCAAAAATAAATAGTACATTATTTTTCGAACAGGCAAAGCACGCTTTAGCTTTTGCTTGAAAAATGCTTTAAATAAATAAGTTTAAATATATTTTAATCTAAGTTCATTTATTTTTATATTAATAATAATTTGAAAAAAGGTTAATGAATATTTGTCTAAGTTTGATTTGTTCGAAGATATTAACAAAGTATTTATTTATGTTAAATCAAAATATAAAGTGTCTGTTTGAATAAAAATATAGGAATGCTCGGTCTCCCAAGACCCACACCCACCCCGGCAAGCATTGTATTTGTAGTGTGGTATTTTCCTAAAATTATTTATTTTGCAAGAATTATAAAAATGCATTAACGCAATAAACACTCGTTGAATGTTACGATCCTTCTTTTTTTTAAATTATCAACTGTATTACGTCTTCCTTAAATATACAAGTACTTTCATCATCAGGGATGGAAACTCTTTACTTTTTGGTAAAATTTAGGTAGTTTAAAATTATAAATTGTGTTAGGTCTTCCTAATACAGTTTAATTTTAAAAATATGTAATATAAATTAAACTGCACCACATAATATATATATATATATATATATATATATATATATATATATATGGGTGTGTGTGTGTGTTTTTTTGTACATGTTTACGTGAGTGATTTTTACGTACCTATATAGGCGCATATATACATGTTTACTTTTACACATGTCCAGATAAAAAGTGATATAGACTGACTGATTGATTATTTTGAATTTATTTATATGAATATTGAAATGTATCCATGTAAATGTATAAGAATACGGAAATAAACAGATATATTTACGATTGTCTGCCTGCTTATGTGTCGCTGTGTACGTACATACACGCACTCACATATATATATATATATATATATATATATATATATATATGTATATGTATATATATGTGTGTGTGTGTGTGTGTGTTTTTGTGCTTACCACTTGTAAGTAGTCTTGTACCATGATTTTTTTTGGCATAAGATAACATGCCACCCTTTACAAATGATAAAATTGATAGGTACGTCATATATATATATATATATATATATATATATATATATATATATATATATATATATATATATATATATATATATATCGGTGAACATACGTTTAAACGAGTAGTAGGTGAGGTGTTAGTAAAAGAATTGTTTCGAAACTCATTTGACACGACAACGCTGATAACTGATCCTGATTCTCGCCTGATACGTCACGTTCTCGCAATGGCCGTGATCTTAATCGCTATTGATGGCACTTTACGCCGGTTAGCCCGCGGATAGAAGCTTGGGTTGGGGGGAGGAGTTGAATGCGCAGGTGGGTGGGTGACTGCTCAAGGGATAAATTTCACTTCTGGGAGTGATGTGATTTTTTATGTTTAACCTTGTTTTTTTTTCGCTTTTCCTCTATCTGACTGCCTATTTCTCATTATTCACGCACACATACACATACATACATATATACGCATATATATATATATATATATATATATATATATATATATATATATATATAGATAGATAGATAGATAGACATATGAACGGTAATATATATGAACATTGAATATATATATATATATATATATATATATATATATATATATATATAGCCGGATGTAATGAGAAGGAAATTAATATAAATTCTAACGTTTACATCATTAATTCAAAAGATGGCTCGATACAAAGAGAAGAGCAATAATTATTTATTATAATTTTTACATATGGACAAAAACCACTTGCTCACTACAAAGATGCATACTTGTTTCGATGCGGCTGCATCTCGACTGGTGTGAATCAAAAATGGTTCATTTTTGGGTTTCAGTAGTCGACATGCAGCCGGATCGAAACAATAATGCGTCTTTTCCTTGAGTAAGTTGTTTTTGTCCGTATGTAAAATATTATAATACATGCATGCACACACATACATACACACACATACATACACACACACAGATATATATATATATATATATATATATATATATATATATATATATAAGGCAGGATGTATGTGTGTGTAACGAATGCACGGCCGCAATTTTCGACGGATTTGCACCAAAATTTACATGCACATACTCCAAGTTAGCGGGAAGGCCAACACCGATTTTGCATTTCCCAACTCGCATCGATAGTGGAAATAATTGATTTTTTCATGCTTCTACTGTAGTTTTCATGTAGTTTGCGGCCATTTTCTACTGGCCAGAATGAGATCCTATAGCTGGCTGCCATGAATAGGCAGGAAGATTCTATTGGCCAGCGTGAGAGCCAACAGCTGACTGACACGAATGTTAACTAGCATGCTAGCATGCAAAAAATCGATAGCTGCATTCGTCACAAGTGGGAAAAATTTAAATCTACATGGCACTTTACTCCAATTGGCTCATTCGCTTGCTTAAACTCAACGTTGATTCTGATTTCGCAGAACTGGGTTAGGTTTGAAAAAGTATTTGTTGTTAACATTTTTTTTTCATTCGGTTTTTCCAGTTACGAGTCATTTTTTAAAGCTGATCGTTTTGTGTTCGTTTTGTTTAGTTCTTTTTTTTGCAACAGATTTAATGTTTAGTATAGAGCTTAGAAAAAATTCGCAGTGTGAGATAGGCAAGAAGTAAGGCATGTAGCAACATCAACACGCAAAGGGCACTCCTTTAAAGGCAAGGAAGGTCTAAAATATTTTAAGTCAAGTGATAGCGATTGCTGTATGAGTCGTACGATTTTTTTTGAATCAAGCACGGGCAACGCCGGGCTATGCTGCTAGTATATATATATATATATATATATATATATATATATATATATATATATATACATGCGTGCGTGCATTTCTTATTTTGATGAAAGAATGAGAAAGAAGAAAGAAAGTATAGATTCTAAAATTTAAAAAATATTTTTTTCTACATACTAAGGACAAAAAAGAAGAATTTACAAAATAATGGTTTAATGATTTGAGAATGCAAAAAGGAAAGAAGGAATAGACAAAACAGGGATTAAATAAGTACAAAAGTAAGAAAAGCTTTCAGATTTAAGAAAGAAAGAAAAAAAGAAAGAAAAGATAGAAAGCTTATGAAATTACACGAAGCGTAAATTTATACGACCTGTTAGTTATTAATTGAAAAATAATACCACTTGCAGTTTAATGATCGGAATTCTTCCTTTTCTCATTTGTTCATAAATATACCCTTAAGCAACACTGCTATTATTACTGTCAACATTTTATCTTGTGGTACACTTTAGGTTCTATTATAGATTCCGAGATAAAACTTGACATTCGTGGTTTTGCTTTTAGTCTGGGTTGAACGCCATTAAAAAAAAAACGGAAGTAAACTTTCTCTCGCAATAATCAACTCAACTAGGAATCAACGGACATTGCTGGACAAAGTCTATTCTCCGATAAAATTTAGAACAAGCAAAGTAAATCTCAATCGATAATCTGAAATATATACACTATATTTTGAAGGCAGATAGATAGATAGATAGATAGATAGATAGATAGATAGATAGATAAATAGATAGATAGATAGACAGATAGATAGATAGATGTGAACAAAGGCAAATGAAGAGATTAAAGACATGAAGAGACTAAAATAAATAGATAGATAGATAGATGTGAACAGATTTAGATAGATAGATGTAAACAAAAACAGATATGAACAGATTAAGATAAGTAGATAGATATGAATAGACTTATATAGATAGATAGATAGATAGATAGATAGATAGATAGATAGATAGATAGATAGATTTGAAAAAAGATAGTTATGAACAGACTCAAATAGATAGATATTGTACAAAGACAGTTATATACAGGTTAAAACAGATAGATATGAACAGACTAAAAAAAAGATAGATAGATGTGTGTGTGTGTGTGTGTGTGTGTGTGTGTGTGTGTGTGTGTGTACAGATGTATATATGTTGTGGTAGCGGTCATCTGTCAGATGAACAGAGTGGAAAAATCCTTTTTGGGGGATGTAGTATGTCTTAGTTGTTCTGTCATTCTTACAACATCAGCTTTTGCCGCTCTTATAAAAACAATGTCGCCTGGATTGATCTAAACGCGCCTCTTTTAACTGGAGAGTGAATGGGTGGGCATGAAGTTGTGCGTCGCCATTGCTAGCTGTTAGCATTTTTTAGCTGACATGTTTTTACAAGGGAAATATCAAAAAAAGAATGGAAAGAAACATTGATATAGGGAAAATAAAAGAAGCGGATGAAGAAAAGTAATAAAAGCGACGGAAAACTCTGTTAAGCCAAAGAATTGAATGCTTATTTGAAATCAATAAGGAAGACTGAAGAAAGGGAATGAGGCTTGATGTTGTGAAAAAAACGGTGTGATGAAGAAAGAGAATAAAAGTCGGATAGAAATGACAAGAACAGAAGAGAAAGTGGATAGAAACGAACAGTGGAAAGAAGGGCGTGAAATGAAAGAGGAAATAGAAAGATGATAAGACATATAAGAGGCAAATATAAGAGAAAGAAAGGCGTGAAGGCGAAGAAAAATAATTCTCTATAATAAAAGGAAAATATATTTTTCATTTAACTGAGACTTATATATATATATATATATATATATATATATATATATATATATATATATATATATATATATATATATATATATATATATATATATATATATATATATATATATATATATATATATATATATATATATATATATATATATATATATATATATATATATATATATATATATATATATAAATGGGATAAAATAATCTTTTCAGTAACAATCCAAGTAATTTCTCTCGGCAATGAAGCAAATAATAATCTTTTTTACAAGGCCCGAGTGCCATTCGTGGTAGAGTGTTACGTTAAAGGATAAGAGGGGAAGATAATGGGTATTTTTTATGATTTCAATCAGTTATGCGCCATGCGTGATATACGCTTAGGCGATCATATATCTTTCGATACATGACTAACGAGGCAGATTTATTTCCCCGCAGTAGGTTGCCATTTCTTTCTGCGGTAGACCCGTTGCCATCCAAGGCTATAGAACGCGGTCCGTCGTGCAATTTACCCATAGCTGTGGGGGGAGAAGAACAGGATCCATACCTTTCCCAAGTGTATTAGCACGTAAGTGAATGTAATGGATTTGTCTGGAATTCAAACTCGGCTCTCTAATTCTTCAATCCGAGCCGCTATCCATTACCCCACGATCGGGAAAAGATCCTTTTGGGAGTCTGTTCCACACAGCAGTTGTTTGACTAGAACTTCTCACCGATGGAACACGGATGGAATATGGGTGGTTTGCTACTATGTACGTAAAGGTAAGACCTGGCGGAACAAAGGCATGTTGTTTGTCCGAGCACTTTCCATGACAGTAGCGATAGAGTAGTGAGAAGTTGGAGAATGGAAAATAATTCTTCTCCAACAAGAACCCTGAGAAGCTCTTGAACTCTGTCAAGACTCGAAAATGTGGTCTGGGCAGATGCCGCCCAAAATAAAAGAATTACATTTGAAAAAGAATAGGAAAGGTCAAATGTAAACGAAAAATGACGAGAATTAAGATCGGAATCTAATGTGATTTGACATAAAGAAACTGGTAGAAATTATTTGTACTCTTTTTCTGAAAATTATTATTTGCTTCATTGCCGAGAGAAATTATTTGAATTGTTACTGAAAGAGATTATTTTATCCCATTATATATATATATATATATATATATATATATATATATATATATATATATAAGTCTCAGTTCACCACCTGAAGATTGCGCTGTGCATGAATTTCAATCGTGCTATTGTTACGGAAAAATGTATATTTAATAATATATAATTTATAGCTCTGTTTTATTACACAAAGCTCTTTTTTACTAACACCAGCACTCAATTATATATCCATATAACACACACACACACACACACACACATATATATATATATATATATATATATATATATATATATATTAAAGAAAAACAGACCACTTTAAGGTTCCATTATAATAATTTATTTCACCAGACCCCTTTTAAAAGATGCAGGATCATCAGATAGCACTCCCAACAGATGAAACGAAAATGAATATATATATATATATATATATATATATATATATATATATATATATATATATATATATATATGATGGGCTTTCCCCCGTTGTTTTCAGTTTTTAATCCTGTATGTGTCCGCGTCGCCTTAACTGTCTGGCCATTGGACTTGTTGCTCAGGTGGAATAGCAAAGAAGGAACACAGAACTGAACTGCAGACTATCCACACAAATGATTTGTTTAGAGTGGTAAAGACTTTTGTAGAACCAGCCACACTTATTTGATTTGTTTTATTTTAATCATACATTATTCTTATGTTTTTCTTGTTTATTATATTATAATATTTAGTTATGTTATTCATTTACAGTACTTAATATGCGTATTTTATAGTTTTTTGTACGTGTGTCTATCTTTAGCCGTGGTATACATACATACATATATATATATATATATATATATATATATATATATATATATATATATAGAGAGAGAGAGAGAGGTATATTAATATGGATAAATAAAATATCTAGACATTAGCAATTCGCACCTGATGAGTTGGTAGAACAACGAAACTTAAGTTGCACTTCGAACGTAGGTCTCTCTCTCTCTCTCTCTCTCTCTCTATATATATATATATATATATATATATATATATATATATATATATATAATGCGGGTAAGATGAGAACAAATGAAGTATAATTCCACTGTGCGTAACATTAAATTTAATAGACAGCTCCAAACAAAGTAAAGCTAATTAAATCTCTTATGTGATGTTAATCTTGATAATATAAAGTTATAATGGTAGTAAAAAAATTCTAATAACATTAAGGTTGTTAAATTCAGGAGATTAATCCATAGGGAAATGAAAAGCGTAAACCTTAAGGTTGAAATAACTACTAATGTTAAACGAGCAGAATTTGTGAATGTTACGTTCGATCTTGTTAATGATGCATTCCAACCTTACATGAAAAATAATGCAAACCCAATATATATTCACCTCAATTGTGACCACCCTCAAACTGTAATCAAACATATACCCTAATCTATAGAATGTACGATTAGCAACAACTCATCTGACAAAGATGCGTTTAATAAATATACCGGTGTTTATCATACTGCTTTAAAAATAATTAGTTACAAGTACACTGAAATCAAGTATAGAAAACATGATAATAGCGATCTAATAAAAGAAATAGGATTAGGAAAATCATTTGGTACCCCACCCCCGCCATTTAATCAATTGGTCAGTACAAAGTTAGGCCAAAAGTTCCTCCATTAATTTTTTTCCCTAAAAGTAATCCTCTTAGTAAAATATTTAACAAAAACACAATAAAACTAAGCTCTAGTTGCACCAATAATCTTGAGAAGAATATAAAGAAATACAATAATAAAATTTTAAACCAATTTAAAAAATTAGATAATAATGCACATTCCAAGATAAATACTGTCGATAATATTAACCAATGTAATTACAAGAATTCTAACGAATGTCCATTACGAAACAAATGTTTGAAAAAACTCTCTTGTTTATATAAGTACTATTTCTACAATAGAGAATCCCTGTTGAAAAAATTTATATTGGTAGTACTGGTAATACTTTTAAGACTAGGTTGTACCAACATATATTATCCTTCACCAATAGTACTTGTAAAAATAGTACATCTCTTTCAAAATATTTTTGGAATTTGAAAGAATCTAATAAAACTCCTAAGGTAACATTGAAACTTTTTTAAAAGCTAGAACATGTAGATCTTTAAATGAACCTTGTTTTTTATGTTTACATGAGAAATTAAAAATTACCAGATACTATGATAAAAAGTCTTATTGAAACAAAGAAGTGAATTAACTGTAAATTGTAGGCATAATCTCCATTTACCTTACAATATGGTTAAACTTTACATTTGACAATACTTTTTCTTGTTGTAATAATTAGTAGCTGAACTGCGGTGCACCTTATATGACTTACTATTCTATTTGTAAAATTCTTTTAGATTTAATATAGCTCTTTATTGATGTATAGTTCATATTATTAACATCCTATAGGGATGTACTGGTGTTTAGTATTATTAACATATTACATTGATTAGTTAGTATTATTAACATCGTTGTTATTAATATCGTGTATGGATACTTTTTACATAACGCTAGCATATTAATTTGCCAAAGTCATTTTGTATTTATGATCTGTTTTCCTTTTTAAACGGTTACGTTATTTACTTGTTTCTTAAAAAACGTTTTATTTATCAACTACAAAATTTATGTAGGAAGGTGACTGAGCATATAACTAGTTAGTATTATGTTAAATTACCTCCCTACCTCTTTCTCTTTAAATCCTTGTGAAAGTTTAACGTCATATTTCTATATATTTTATGAAATAATGTAAGCATTTGTATCTTTCCCAAATGAATGTGTCTAGGATTTATATGCAGACAACATCCTGTCATAACCTATGAAATTGTTTTTCTTTCTTCGGTTAGTTTGAGTTTAGCGTTGTTCACATTTGATTAGTTAATCACGGTATCACGCATAAGCCTCATTTTAATTCTGTTTCTTTTTTTCTTCTTTTTTCCTTTTTTTTTCTTCGAAAAACAAGAGGAAGTATCCTGCTCTTGAAATTAAATTAATCGTTCACTCGCCAGTAATTTAACACCACCCGGGGAGACGTATTTGTAGTTTTTAAAACCCGATTGCTATTGTGTAACGTTTTTTAATGATTTTCTTTTAATTTCCTATAGCACACACACACACACATACACACACATATATATATATATATATATATATATATATATATTAAGAAATGGACGAGGTCCGACAATTTATTTATTAAAGACATTTTTATTTATGTTTAACGTTGTTATTTTATAGATACAAAGTATTTAAGCAAATGCTCTGTTTATGATAAACAGTATTAAATAACATTTACCGGCCTGAATGTCGAGAAATTTTCATAGAAAATATTCGTTCATAGACAGGATTTCGAACCTGCATCCTATACGGAACCGTCATATACGCTGACGTGCCTTAACCACTCAGCCACCATGAACCTTATTGTAGACAAGGTCGAATTTACTGTTATAAACTACAATCTTCCATGAATCTCGTACATTCATAACTGCTCTGGCGTATCGAATGTAAACAAATGACGTCATATGTTAAGAAAATGGACGAGGTCCGACAATTTATTTATTAAAGACATTTTTATTTATAAACAACGTTGTTATTTTATAGATACAAGTATTTAAGCAAATGCTATTTAAATAAACAGTATTAAACATTTAAATGTCCGAGAAATTTTCAAAAAATATTCGTTCATAAACAAAACCTGTCCTATACGGAACCTCGACGTCCATTTTTAACATATGACGTCATTTGTTTAAATTCGATACGCCAGAATCTCGTACATTCATAACCTTATGGTAGATTCATATGGAAGATTGTGTTTATAACAGTAAATTGATCTTGTCTACCATGAAAATTTCATAGTCGTTATTTCGATGGTGGCTGAGTGGTTTTT